CTCTCCTAAATTTAGACGACAAGATATTTTATATATTTGTTTGTATATATGTTGATTTTTTATTAGTTAAAAACAAGAAATGTAAGAGAGAATTGATTTTTTTTTAATAAATTAAGAGTATTTAAAAAAAAAAAATTCCTCAAACAAGCTTTTTGTGATGGATATAAATAAAAAGAGAGACAATCTTTTTGAAACGGAAAGAGTAATTTTTGTTGTAGGCTGCCAATGGTCCCAAAATAACTTCAACTTAACGTTTTTCCAGTGATATCAAAGCTAATGCCACTACTCATTTTGGCTAAAAAAAAAAAAAAAAAAAAAAAAAAAAAAAACCTCCTACTAGCTATAGCACTTTTTCTTTCCATCTTCTGATAACAATCAAAAAAAGAAGATCTAATGGAACTTGACTAGGATATCATCAAAGAGAAGAAGCATGCTAGATAGTCCCAATTTAATCTTTTACCATTTGTTTTCAACATTTTGCACTACGGAGTGTGGATTATTGACTAATTGCCTCTCTAACTATTAATTTATTGATCATGGTACGAGAATTATCTAACTCATGAGCTCTATGAATTGAATGCTTAACTCTTGCGCGCTAACTGGAAGGCTAAATTTTTTAAAAATTATTGCTCAAATGTTGGGACATTAATTTGATGATCTTGTCATTGGTGATGCACGCAAAAGTAGTGCAGTCGGTGTAGAATATTTATTAGAGCTTATCGTCATATACTAAAAGGAGTGCATTTTCCACTAGTAATATTGCAGCACTCACTTAAGAGTCTGCCAACCAGTCTAGCTTGGGTAAACGAATCGAAGTCTAATTTCCTAGGTCTCCTTACGTTATTTAGGTTTAGATTTGAAAAAGACAGGAGTACCAACAAGTTACTGGTCATCTATAAGCAAATTAGTTTTTAGGTAACTTTTTTGCTAATGTATATGATTAGAATTTTGAAATTATATTAGTTAGAAAAGATTAAAATTTTCTTATCTTCGCTCCGAATAAGATTAATTCTATATTTAATATGAGATAAAAATATTTTAAAAAAATTAAAACAAAGATTGTGAGAAAGAAGTTTTCAAGAATTTCCATTTAAAATGTGATTTATTATTATTATTTTTTAAATTGAACTAGTTTGAAGCTCAAGATTATCTCTTTACTCTTTACATTATAAAAATAATAATAATAATAAAAATAATAACGAATCCTTTAATCTTATAGTAATTATAAAAAATTATTGAAAAGTGTACGGATATAAAAAGATTGTTTCGTTCAAAAAATTTAAATTGTTAAGTAAAATTATAAAATATAATTATATTATTTTTTAACATATTTTTTAAGTAAAAGTTTTTTAAATTTAAAATTTATATATGCTTATGCTATCGCATTTAAAACGTGGGATTAAGATACGTTGAATATTAGAAAAAGTAAAGAGCAAAGGAGAGCATTAATTTGGTGGCTTTCCAATATCCTTTGCTGACTTGTGCGAAGAGATATCTATGGACAATTGCTTGCATGACCAAAAGCCTACTGAGGTCTAGTTAAGTCCTCATATTTGAAGGATACCATTAACTCTGTCGTAGTTATCAAACTAAAAAGTCAAGCACAACGATTTTCATACAAATCTATTAAGATTAGAGAGCAAACCAAAAACCTCCACGTGCATGTCGGCAAGTTAGCTCGCTTAGAGGTGTTTTATCATGAGATTAAAATTTGGTAATTTTCAACGCACCTCTAGTTTAATCAATTATTTGACAGATGATCTGAAATATATGCGTCATCTTTATTTCATCAAGAAATGTTAGACCCCAAGTTCAAACCTCGTGGGCTTATTGGGTGGTCAGAGATGTAGATTCATATCTATAATGAGTAATTTTCTGTTTAAATCGAAAAATCAAATCAAATTAAAACTATTCGGGGTATTCGATTCATTCGATTCGGTTTGATATAGGGTTGAAATTTTTTTCTTGTGATCGACAGAAAGAAAGTGTAAGCATAGAAGAAAAAGGAAGGCTGTGGACCAAGAAAGTGGGAAAGAATTGAAAAAGAAGAAGCAATTCGGATAAAGAGATAGACGATTACGACGGCTACACTTATTGTATTTTACTTTCCTTTATTTTTTCGATTTCTTCACTTTAACCTTATATGGAATATTATGGTTGAGATTATATATTCATGTTTTTTTTATAATATTTATCAATAGTAAGCATCATCACACTAGTTTTCACATTAACTAATATTAAATTCATCATTTTTAAAACTAAATTAATATTAAAACATATTTAATTTTTTATTGACTATCAAAAAATAATTTAACTATAAAAGAATTGTTTTTAATTTAATCAAAATCAAAATTCAATTTTTACTATTTATAGATATTGAACCATAATTATATATCCTTTACTAGTACTAAGTTTGAGCTAATACTAACAATTATCAAATTACTTAATTATGAAACACACTTAAATATTTAATCCATCAATTACTTAATCTCGAGATTTTAACCTCGAATCAAACACAAATTATAAAATCCATGGTTATCTAGAGCGAGGATGAAAAGAGGAGTGACAGATGGAGGAATGAGATTTTTTTTTTCATCGACTAAACGAAAGTGTAAGCATAGAAGAAAAAGGAAGATTGTAGACCATGAAAGTCAAAAAAAGAGAGAGAGAGAGAGCGCAATGTGGAAAAAGAAATACACTATTTCGACGACTACACTTATTCTATTTATCTTTCTTTTATTTTTTCAATTTCTTAACTTTAACCTTATATTGCATACTATGGTTAAGATTATACATCTTCGTGTTTTTTTTTTTTTTTTTTGACATTTAGAGATAGTATACATCATCAAACTAGTTTTGGCAAGGCAATAATCAGTACTAAATTCACCATTTTTTAAAAACTAAATTAATGTTATAATATACTTAATCTTTAGTTAATCATCAAAAAATATAGTCTAATAATTAAAAAAATTATTTTAATTTGATCAAAATCAGAATTTAATTACAGATAACTAATCATAATCATCTTTTAATGACATCAGATTAAAACTGATACCACTAATTATCAAATTACTTAAGTTATCAAATATACTAAAGAACTAATCGTTCAATTGCTTTATCTCAAGATTTAAAAAACACAGATTAAAAATCCATGGTTATCTATAGAGAGGATGAAAAGAGGAGTGGGAGATGGAGAATATCAGATTTATTTTCTATTAAATTTGTGCTTCCATATTATATCATATTCTTACTTATGCGTTACATTGCTTCTTCACGGAGGAGAGCCATTTAATAATAAATAAATATTATAAACATAGGTAGCAGAATCGAGGGGAGGATTTTCAGGGAGCACAAAAAACAGTTTGTTTTATACATAGAGTGCTGATGAAGATAGCCACGTAGCGATGTAATGGGCTAACCTGAGCGGTTGGCTTTATCGCAAGGAGGAGGGTTGCTTCTTCTAAAGGTCTGTCTTTAGCTCTGATTTGGATAATTTGTTTTTAATTGGATTGAAAGATAGATTTAAAAGCAAACGTCAAATATGTCATTTGACTATTGGAGTTTTAATTTTATATTTAGATGGTTTTTTAGATCAATTTTATCATTAAAATATTTAGATTTTTTAATTAAAGAATTTCTGTCATAATTATTTATAAAAAAAATTATAATTTGGATGAAACTATTGACAAAAATACTTAAAAGATGGATGAAAGTTTTTAATTAAAATTAACCATAAGATGGTAGTCCGTTAGTAAATAAATGTTTACTTGTAAGTTAGGTCCAAGATTTAATCTTTATAAGCAGCACTCCCGAGAAGCTATTCTCGAATACTTGAAATCATGCATTGAAAAATGCTCCTTACCCACGTCCAGCAAAGAATTAATCTTGAGATATATAAAAACTGATCTAAAGATTCCCATATTATTGAACAAAAAAATCTTAATTAATTTTTTTAAAAAAATTGATGGTAACATTGAGATTACCTATAAAGTTATGTAGTATTTTTATAAGTTTTCACTAAATACTACTCTCTCTATCTCAATTCGTTTGTCCCCTCTGACTTTTTATAAAGATTAAGAAATACAGTAAATATAATACCACATCATTCAAAATTACTCTTATCTTTTTAATAATTTCTTTTTATTTATTCCTTTCGACTTTTCATAAAAATTAAATAATGAAAAAAATCTAAGGGCGAAAGAAAGGACTCATGAAGACCAAAAGTCAAAACGAAAAAAATCAGAGGACTCAAGGCAAAAAATCAAGGGACAAAATCTGCATGTGTGCAGAATATTTAAATCATTTGCAAATAAAAAACTAGAGATCCAACAGCTCAGAATGCCAAAGCAAGAAGAGCAGAAAGATCGAACGTTACATAAACAAACCATGGATTGAGCACAATGTGACTTAGTCTTCAATGTAATGAGTGAAAGTGAACAGCTTAGCAACAATCTTACCTTAACGTCATAAGAAGTTCATAAACATAACTATTTAAGTATATCTAATTATTTACCACTTATAATTTACAGTTCTTTTATAATTTTCAATGCTTTTAATTTAGATGGATTAACTCTTTATCATTTCTCTTTTTTGTTATCCAAAAAAACTAGATAGATGAAAAGCCATTCATCCTTTCTCATCTCCCTCCCTCCAGTTTTCCATCTTTCTAAGATCCTTAGAGATTTTAGATTTTCTTACATACCAAATCGGTTTTTTATGGATTATATTCACCGTACACACAAAGATACATTAATAATAAATTCATGTCCTAATTTATAATACGTAATTTTGATATATGTTAAAAAATAGAATTAACCTCCCAGGGGCGGATGAGACGTCACTATCTTCACATTTGCTGAGATGAAATGGAAAGTCTGACATCCTCTTGATGACAATAATTCAAGGGAAAAAAATATCTATAAATACTCGAGAAATTAGATGGAGTTTTCATATAAAAGGCCTACATGCCCAACGCCATCCCCCACATAGCCTTTAAAACCATGTCCAAATTCTTACAACCTTCTTCCACGGATAGCACCGTTGCTCCGATCATGACTCAAAATGGCGAAGAAGAGACTAAGGTCGTTTCTACCCCACGAAAACCCTCCAAAGGTGGCTGGAATTCTGCCATCTTCATTATCTGTAAGCTAACCACTTCATCATCTTTGGTCTTCTTTGAATAAATTTCATCTTCTCTTAACATTTTTCTGTAGAACTATGATTTTCATCTCATTATGTATGTCTGTCTGTAGTTGTTGAAGTGGCTCTGAGATTTGCCTACTATGGTTTGGCTGGTAACCTCATAACATACCTCACAAATGATCTTCATCAGTCCATTTCTACAGCCATCAAGAACGTCAATACATGGGTTGGCGTCTCAGCAATCTTCCCCATATTTGGAGCAGTTGTAGCTGATTCTTTACTTGGCCGCTTCAAGACCATCCTTCTTGCCTCAGCTATTTACTTCATCGTAAGTTCACTAGCTACCATCTTTAACTTCCCTGATTTTGAATTGAAGAATCTTTGGTGCCTAACTGTTCCTTAAGCATAAGGATTCAAAACCTGGTCATAATGTACGAAGCACATCCCCTAGCTAACAATTGACTGACCTTATTTCTGAGGTTTATTCTTTATGATTTTTATCTTTTGCAGTTGGTTTTGATGATAATTTTTCACACCTGACTTTATATCACAGGGGATGGTTCTGCTGACCTTATCTGTCTCTGTAATTCCTACGCATTACCATGAGGCTGTGTTCTTTACCGCTCTCTACATACTAGCTATTGGTGAAGGTGGGCACAAGCCATGTGTGCAGACCTTCGCGGCAGATCAGTTTGATGAGGAGAAGCCGGGGGAGAAGGAGGCCAAGAGCTCATTCTTCAACTGGTGGTACTTAGGTATAGTGGCTGGCGCATCTTCAGCTGTATTGTTGGTTATTTATATCCAGGTAACCAAGTTCTTGAACTTCAAGTTAAAATAAGAGTGGGACTTGACCTCTTAACACATTCATTCTGGTTCTGTTCATTTTTCAGACATTTGAACTAAAGACTTTATGCTCAATTCATTTTTAAAGCTCCAAATTTGTGGCATTGATTAATTAACTTCGATGTTTCGAAATGTGATGGTGTAAATAGGACAATGTCGGGTGGACAGCAGGATTTGGAATGCTGACAGGAGCATTAGGGGTGGCATTGTTTATATTCTTAATAGGAATTAAGAAATACAGGAAACAAGCTCCAGTTGGGAGCCCTTTCACAATGGTGGCACAGGTGTTTGTGGCAGCCATGCGGAAGCGGCGGCTGCGGCGCGTGATAGAGACGCACCAAGGCGGGGGCATATGTTATGAGGCCGGTGGGACCGACATCGAGGGTCAACCCCGGAGTCGAACTCTGGCAGCCACTAATCAATTCAGGTATGGGTCAATTCAAAAGGCAAGCATATATAATTTTCTTGTTTTGGTGTAAAAGTCTCCTCTTATCCTCAATGGATTTGTTGAAATGAAGAAAAATGGGGATAATGTTATTGGTTGGGGTCATATCCGTGAACATGGCTACCTCTAATTGGTTTGACTAGGATTAAACAGAACTAGATTCTACGGCCTAAAAATGCACATTGAAAAGGCGCAGGCCGCGATGTTTTTTGGATCTTTTTGGCAAAAAAATGCAACCTGTACAGATTGATGAGATTCACTGCACAGTAACTCACTGTTCAGACTTCAGACAAAACATAAAAATTTCTTCGAGACTAAGCTTCTGTTACACAACAAATTGAGGTTCCTGTTGACCAAAAGTTTATGTAACAACTTAAATTCAGTAAAATCCTCAAGTTCAAGACTCTAATCTGTTAATTGCTTTCATGATGAACTTGGCATGGACTACCTGAAACTCCAGCACATCAAGAATGGCAGTAAATCATCTCCTCTGTACCTAACGTTCCTGGACAGGATAAATCCTATCAAAATTATTAATATACTGCTTACCTTTCCTGTTAAATGGAATCGAGTCATTTTCTGTTTGTTCTTTCTCAAAGTAAACAATTCCTATCCTACCTTCAACCAAAGATGCTAAGCAAATCTTTGCTTTCTCTGAGCCAGAATCTAGTCCTCCCTTCTCTTTCTTTCTTCCGGGCAGCATCAACTCCTTTTTGTTTGCTAACTTTCTAGGTAGCATTAAATCAATGGTTACTTTCTTCTATGCTTTCTCTCAAGTATAATTAAGTCCAATCTTCTGCTGAAACAAGTTCTTCCAGATCAGAGAGAGGGACCTAGCTAGTTTTCGCGCGTAGGTTGGCCGAAAGATACACCAGACTACCACTCCAAAGTAAAAAAGAAATGATAATAATCAGCAATGACTAGCTGAGATTAGGTATATAAAAGAAAAACTTACTGATTAGCCATATCATTTATATCCAATTTTCCTTGAATTGAATTCATGACATGTTAATCGTTCAGGTTCTTGGACAAGGCGATGATCATTGACAATTTGGATGCCTCAAGCAAACCAATAAACCCTTGGCGGCTATGCTCACTCAACCAAGTGGAAGAAGTGAAGCTTGTCCTGCGACTTCTCCCCATTTGGTTAAATTGCTTAATGTTCACTGCAGTATTAGTTCAAACGCACACTCTTTTCATCAAGCAAGGTAGCACAATGATCAGATCAATAGGACCAAACTTCCAAGTTCCACCAGCATCATTCCAAAGCCTCGTAGGCCTCACGATCCTCTTTACAGTCCCAATTTATGACCGCATATTCGTGCCTGCAGCAAGAAAACTAACCAGACACCGCTCCGGTATAACTATGCTGCAAAGGATTGGCATTGGCCTCTTTCTGTCTATAGTTGAAATGGTAGTAGCAGCTGTAGTAGAGTTTAAAAGGGTTAACATTGCAAGACAACATGGCCTAATGGACACCCCGAAAGCAACAATACCAATGAGTGTCTGGTGGATACTTCCGCAATACATGATTAGTGGAATCTCAGATGTGTTCACGGTCGTTGGATTACAAGAATTGTTCTATGATCAAATGCCGGAATCGATGAGAAGCATGGGAGCTGCAGCACATATAAGTGTGATTGGAGTTGGGAGCTTTATCAACACTGCTATTATAACTGTGGTGCAGGCAATTACAGCAAGGTCTAGTGGCATTTTGCTTGGTGACAACCTTAACCGTGCTCATGTTGATTACTTCTACTGGATCTTGGCAGCATTGAGTGCTGCAAATTTTTGTGTCTATTTATGGGTTGCTCATGGTTTTGTATACAAAAAAGTTGAAGGTGAGGAACAACAGGAAGGCAAGGAATTGGAATTTGCTGAACAGGTAGATGCAAACACATGAGATCATAGGACCATGTGCTGCTAAAATTAAGTAGAAATTCAAACTATAAGCATGTTAATGCTGGAATAGATAGTGTTAGAAGATGTCATCAATAGTTGTATTTCGAATATTGTAGTCTAATATTAGATCTTTGTAATTATAGTTTTAAACAACGATTGTTACGTTATATAATAGTCGTTATGTAACGGTTTCGAAGTATTTTATTATCGGTATTTTAGTATTATAGTAAGTCGTGATGATGATCGCGATCGTTTTTTCAACTATCTACGATTTAAAACTATATTCTCAATCTCTATCCCTTTGCACATGAGATATAAAATTACATCCCTCCGGTATCTTTGAAAATAATTTAGGGACAACAAGAGATGTAGTGAATTGAATTGATATAAGTATGAAATCTTAGATTTAAGATAAATATGTCAATTTATCTCCATATAATAATCTAAGTCTTCAATTTATTTTTATATTTTTAATTGTATCTATTATATTTCTGAATATTGTTTTAGAATTCAATCATTTCTTTTAATTAATTTTTCTAATCATGGATAATTATTTTTAACAGTAGTACAAAATAATAATAATAATAATAACTATTAAAAGTCACGTGATCTACATGTTCTATTTTTAATATCTTTAGATTTTTTTTTCATTTTAATCAAGGGTATTTTAGTCAAAAAAAATTGATTGAAAATATAAATTAGAGACTTAAATTTTATTCAGATACATAAATTTTATTCAGATACATAATATATGTAATTAAAAATATAATAGTAAATTGAAGATTCATATTATTATATAAGAACAGATTAAAATATTTACACCAGACTTTATTTATTTTATGTACTATTTTAATATATTTATATATAATAAAATAATCCTGTATAATAAAATATAATAATTTAATAACTGATGTATAGGAATCAAAATTAAAATAAGAGGATTTAATTATTTGGGTTTGGGTGGGTTGAGGAATCTGGTATCGGTCACGCAAAAACCCGTCTCGATCCATTCTCCATGGAATTTTTTTCAGGAGAGTTGGGATTGGTATCCGCTTGTATTGGGCCAAATTGTCATAGATTCTATTTGGGCTTCCTCACAATTGAAGCCCATATTGAGCACTCAACGTGGCATCGCGCTTGCATTTAATACCAAAAGGACCAGAGGAAAAAGCACCTTAATTATATAGGGATTCATGGAATTTTTTTCAGGAGAGTTGGGATTGGTATCCGCTTGTATTGGGCCAAATTGTCATAGATTCTATTTGGGCTTCCTCACAATTGAAGCCCATATTGAGTACTCAACGTGGCATCGCGCTTGCATTTAATACCAAAAGGACCAGAGGAAAAAGCACCTTAATTATATAGGGATTCTTGGTTCAGTCCCCAAACATTTTGTTGTCAAAATTTTTTAATTAAATCCCATATGTATCCTATATCCATTAGTGAATATGATCTTTTACCCGGAAAAAAATAAAAAAATAAAAAACACCGTTTCTTAAGCTTGATGTTTCTCAATTAAGTTTTTTTTTTTTTAATACTTCAGAGATTTAATTGAAAAGAGAATTATTTAAAGGTTCAATTGAATTTAAGTTATAGTTTGAGAGCTCATTTGAAGTTTTCCTAAAAATCCTCATCTCAACTCTCGTATGATTAATTTTTCAATTAGTTGCACTAATTTTCTAATGGGATGACGCAGTAGTTTAATTGTATGATAATCAGTGATCAAGTTGAAGCACCTCTAGGAATGCTATGGTTCTTAAATGTTTGACATTATGGTTGAAATACTTGGCAATTGATGACAGTAATAATGAAATAAATACTTATAAAAAAAGTAATTTTAGTTGAATAAAAGATCGTTTGATGATTAAATTAGCATATAAAAGAGAATGATGATCAAAGAGGAAAAGGATGAATCACCATACCAAGAAAGAGAAATTCAAAATCTTTAATTTCAAATTTTTTTGTTGTTTATAGAATCAAATATTAACTTGAAAGATAAGCTTTATCGACATTAATAGGTCATTATTAAAAAAATATGGCTCATAAAGAATTATATAGTGACACGTATCATCTCAATATATCAATTATGACGAACATTTTTTTATTAACATGTAACACGAAATGAATATAAGTCCTAAATTGAATACTTACATTGAGTTCCACGTATGGTTTATAAGGCTAGGCAAATTCTAGTCGATGTTGCAGGCATGTAAATTGTAATATTGACGTGTTATTCTTTCAATTTGTTGAAACATGCTTTTGAAATTCCTTGATATATTAATTATTATTTTTTTCTTAATGCAACGAGAATAACTAATATCTTTTTCTTGACAGCACACGAGGTTTTCCCCTTTCTATTTGTTGCATTTTTTTTTTTTTTTTGTGAATTTTGTTATATTGTTCACATGATTTTCATTTTGTATAACAAAACTACAATAGCATGGTAACTAGCTCTGTTAAAGCAATATTTGCTACTCTGTTGGTTTTGAAATACATAAAAATCATGATATATGTAAATAAAATAATGTAACTCTCAGTAAATCAAACTCAAAATTTCCATAATAGCTTAAACTCTTGAATACAAGAAATATTCTATTCTGATCTAAATACTTTTTCTCAAAATATATTCATGTCTAAGAGATGTTGGAGGATAATAAATTGTAATTTTCATTTTATTCGCATGAAATATAAGTAAGCTTTTCTTAGAGAAAAAAAAATGTTTTAACTCTATTTGATATATCTCTAATTGAATCAACTGAATGTAGGAATATAGCTATCCGAAGAGTTTACCAATAAAAGATAATTATACAATTAATATAAGGTTTCAGTTTATTATGATTTGTTGGATTTTAAAAAGTTTGGAAATAAATTAATTGTCCAACTACAGAAAGTAATTTTTCTTTATTTTTATTTTTATTTTTATTTTTTATGTCAGCAACAAATTGATAAAATTTGGATTTTAATCAAGAAATTTAGCTTTGTAGCAGTGGATCAAGGATTTGATTTATAGTTATTTTGTTACGAACCCAAAAAATAAATAATAATTTAGTGCCTGACTTTTTGTATGATTTTATACGTTACTTTTTATAGTTTTGAAAACTACAAATTAGTTATTTGACTAAAGTTGACAATTTTTTTTTTTTAATATCCAACTTGCCCTTTTTAAATGAACTTTTGTTTCGTCCGACATCCGTAGTAAGTGGTCATGAGATTAGACAGGTGGCATACAAATGAAGGACAATTTAGGAAGAAGAAATTAAACTGTCATGGAAAACCGTACAAAAAATAGAAAAATACAGGGATTGAATATTGGATCTTTCAAACTAGAACGATTAACTAATTATTTTGATAAAAATACAGGGACTGAACAATGGTTTCTTCTAAGAGAAAACAACAAATTGGCCGGAAAACGTCACATGAATTCCTACTGGCACCTGAAGGCAACATATCCTTCATGGATTTTGTAGCGCTTCGGCCGCTTCCTCGTCCGTGCCTCACTTCAAAGCAACTGCATTTTTCTATTACTCTTTTATTAGTCAGTGGATATAATGTATGTATCTTCATGATTGAAAGCATTGCTTAAAATGTAAATTTCGATGTGTCTTACTCGATATAAACTGTTAATAGATTTAAAGAATTTAATTTTTAACATTGATCAATTATTAAATATAAATCGAGAATAATTTGATTAGAAAAATAAATTTAATTTTAATTGATATTAAAGCTGATTGAAAAGAATCTTATTATTTAATGACGAGATTAATTAATTTCTTTTGCTTGAGAGACCACGAGGTTTTCCCCTTCTATTTGTTGCATTCTTTTTTGAAGAACTTAGTTCATGGAATCGTTATGGTTGGCATGATTTTCATTTTTAATATCAAAAAGTGCAAGCATCTCTTAAAACAAAATTGCTACTCTTTCGATGATGATATATATTTTTTTTAATTGAATTGAAATTCATGAATTATGATTTAAGTATTTTTATTTTTTTAACGATTTTGTATGTTACTTCTAGTTTTGAAATCATAAGTTGATTATTATATTAGATTTGACTTTAATTCTTTATTAAATATCTAAATTTCTACTTTTAAATGCATTTTTATTTATGTTTATAGTAAGTGAGATTAGAAAATTTGACTATAGATGACTGATATTTTAAGAAAAAACAATTAAATTATTATGAAAACTGACAAAATTAAGGACTAAATTCTGAAAAAAAAAATAGAAATACAAGGATTCAATGTTGGGTATTTTAAACTAAATGGATTGACTAATTATTTTGTTAAAAAATACAGGATTAAATAATAATAGGTTACTGTAAATCAAAATAACAAATAATCCCTCGTTTAGTCGGACAACGTCACATGAATTAATTCTTACTGGCTCCCCGAGACAACAAATCCTTCATGGGATTTTGCAGTTGCCTCCCGTCGACGCAACTGCCTTTTTCTACTATAATCCTTTTACTAGTTAGTCTAGTTAGTGGAGATGGTGGACCTCCACAATTAAAAAGTACTGCTTAAAATGCTTCTTCCCTTTGTAAGGATAAGAACATTCTTTGATTAGTTTTAAGGTCAATTGAAACTATTTGTTCTACAATTGGTAGTTAGACAGACATGGAGTTAACATTAGTAATTAATAAATAAATAAATAAAAGAAGCCAAGTTGTATTATTAAGATATATAGACTAAATTACTAAAAAAAATTTTCAAACTATCATAAAAACACATCTTTTGTATAAGGAAATATCAGTTTGATGTATTTTTAAATGGTAACTAAAACTAATTCTCTTTTTAGATTATCGTATAAATACATTTCTTTCATCCATATTATGCATTTAAATATTTAGACTTCAACCAAAGTTAACTTTTTTCAGCCTATCACAAAAATACACCTCTTATGTTTGTTTGATGCATTCTAGATATTGACACCAAAGTTTGAACTAATCAAATAATAAAGTTAAAAAAAGAAACAAATTTCATTGAACACCAAACCTACTCC